TATATTATAACAATTACACAAGTGAATTTGTTTGTAGAAGCATAGTTATACAATTACACAAGTGATTTGTTTGTAGAAGCATAGTTATACAATTACACAAGTGATTTGTTTATAGAAGCATAGTTATACAATTACACAAGTGATTTGTTTGTAGAAGCATAGTTATACAATTACACAAGTGATTTGTTTATAGAAGCATAGTTATACAATTACACAAGTGATTTGTTTATAGAAGCATAGTTATACAATTACACAAGTGATTTGTTTATAGAAGCATAGTTATACAATTACACAAGTGATTTGTTTATAGAAGCATAGTTATACAATTACATAAGTGATTTGTTTATAGAAGCATAGTTATACAATTACACAAGTGATTTGTTTATAGAAGCATAATTATACAATTACACAAGTGATTTGTTAAGAGAAGCATAGTTATACAATTACACAAGTGATTTGTTTATAGAAGCATAGTTATACAATTACACAAGTGATTTACTTCCAAAAGCACAGTAATCCAACTACAATAGTTAACAAAGATTTTTCCTCATAGGAAAAAATAGCTAAACTTTATTAGGTATAAGAATACTTTGAAGTTTTTGGTTTCTTTGTATCACATAGAGTTTGAGATATACACATATTTTGTTTCAGGGGTTTATACGATAAATTATACTTAATACACATATATTGAGATTATAGCCAATAAAAAAACTGATAACAAAATATTATGTGCACTTATCAAACTGTGAAATGTTTTGTATAAACATTCAGGATGTTCAGAGCTAGACACTCTAGTTGTAATTCATTATACTTGCTGAACTCACCACATCATACTTCACTTTACACTGTAAAACCAAATGTAGTCACCAAATTGTAAATTTATTTCAATATAATCATGATAGCCTAATCAAATAGCATTCAATATACACAAAACTAAATGTTTGGTCTCTGGGAATCTAAATGTGATAGAAAATTTTCAGTTAGATCTTTAGATTCGGGTTGGTACAAGCAATAAACTTCACACTATTTGTTGTAAGATATGGAATAAAAATTTATTAGCTAATGCCATACGAATGATGATCCATAGCATGCCGTTCATAGATAAGAAATTCATATCAAATACATCTTCACAGTAAGTTTGTATGTTTCAACTATTGTCAAGAAAATAAGTAAAGTAAAATTACATTAATAAACAAAAACCCTTGGTCATTTTAATGACACCCTACTAGTGTATATATATAAATACAGTTTTTAACAACATACAACAAATGTCGATTCAACTACTACATGAGTTTGATTATAAATCAAGGTAGTTTTCCTTATGTACAAAGAAGAATGAAAGAATATTTACCATTACAATTAAGGTGAAATGATATTGGAATTCAACAATAATGATATAAAACTAAATGAATTTACTATCCAATAGATTTCCACTAAGGTAGCAAAAGTAAAAACCAAATTTGTTATAAGGCTTATATTATAAATGTAACATAACACACTGTACCTGAGGTGAACAATTAAGAGGTTCTGTGTTGTTCTCTTTATACAACTGTCTCTTTCTTCTTTTTACCAAACTACTTTCTTCTAGTTTTACCTGCTTAATTTCATTCTCACTGTGATTTCCTTCTTCATTATGTCCCAGGAATGTATTTATTACTTTGTCAGCTGAAAAAAATAAAAAGATTCATTCAGTTAAATCACCTTAATAGATAGCAGGTAGTAAATACCATTTTTTTCAGAGAGCAAAAACGTATTCAAGGTTTATATTTTGATATTGAGAATAATTCATACACTTAGGTTCTGGTTAACCTTTGTGATGAACAGCAAACCTTAATGACTGGCAATAAAACAATATCAGTCAAACATTCCCAAGTTCTGCTCACTGAATTCACTGACAAATAACTTAACATGTTAAGCTAAATTCCCATAAAAATCAAAATACATTAAAACTATTAGATAAATAAATATGAAAATTGTAAAGTAAGTCTACTTGATTTTTCCCCCAATGCCAAAGGAATGCACATATACAAGTTTGTCTTCCTGTCACCACGTGTAAAACTTGAGATAATACTGTTGTCAGGAAACATTAGCTTCACCAATTTTCCTATATTTCCACCCCAGTTGACAGTGTGACAATTTTATCTTTTTGAAATTGAAGCTTTCAAACATTTCATCAAGCTGAAATGTGTAACTAATTATTGTTGGTTTTGATTGTTAATACTTGACTCGATTAGACAGATTCTGTGAAGCCATACATGTATAACTCTGAATTTACTGTGTAACTTCAATAAATTTAGCAAGCTTTAAGTCTGTTGTACAGAAAAAAATTAGATATTTCAATAAAGTTTGTTCACTGAACATTTGTATGTTAGTTTCTGAAGCCTTTATTGAGTTAGTTGGAATGAAATATGACTTTAATGCTATGACTGAAAAATCTCCTTTTCACCTTACAGTTTTCACACTTCATCTGCAAAACCTCTAGAACTTCCTAAATGAATAAGTTTTTTGTTTAGTAAAACTATGTTTTTCTTTTCTTTGATCTAACAGTAAATACATCAACTTACCGTGAAATGAAATTTTGAAAAATATGAAACAGAATGAAAAATGATACTTTTGATGACAGTTTGCTCCCAAGTATAGTTCCAAGTTTCAGTTTCAAGTGCTAACATCATCATTTCTAAATGGTTTTTATTGCTGTCCTTTGTAGTTGTACTCACTGAAGTAGTAATTGCTGAGTAAAAGCAGTAAATCACAGTGAGAGACCATTAGCTGTTCCCACAAAGATAAAGTAAACACCAAGTACCTGTAAGATGTCCTGTTATACAAGGCCAAGCTAGTTTAATTTTAGACATTTGATTTACTGAGACTGAGAAGTTTGTTTCTTACATTTCACTTTTCTTTAAAAAAAAAACAACAACAATAAATGAAGAATATAAGTAAAAAACAAAAATCTGTAATTCTCACTGATATTTGAGACAGTTTTCACTCAATAAGATGTTCTTCTATAAGTCTTGTTGAGTCTCCCAAATTTGAGTGTCCAAAAAAGAATTCATGCAGTATTCAAATATGCATTTCAGATCACAAACAAAAAGAGTAAGTGGAATAGGATATTCCAAAAACTACTAGAATCTATCTGACTTTCTAAGTAAGCTAGAAATAAATTTAAAACTTCTGTTAGCTGTTTGAAGTTTCAGTAGAATGATCATGCAGCTAAAGACTTCTGTCAAGTAAATAACACTGGAGCTAAAAATAAAATGGTAAGAAGGATCCTGTAGAGAAGGTTCCTTTCTTCCTATTGGTTATAAACATGTACATTAGTCATGTAAAATTGATTAGCAATGTCAAAAATCAGAGTGAGAGGTCAAGGGCTTCTCTGGTGGGTTTGACAAATGTTTTGATACCTCAGTAAATCAAGAAGGTAGGAGGTGCAAAGTTTAGATTCTTGCTTGTAATTATGTACAGTTTATGTTTCTAATTGGAAGGAAACTGCAGCTGCCTACATTTGACATTACAAAATTCTGAAGAGGTGAAGTCAGAGCTCAGGCACATCAAACAACATAGAAAAATTAAAGTTATTAATTTTTGTAATTTTTCTATTTGAAATTAAAAAGCTAAAACTCAAATAAAAAACTTAAGTCCACATTCACATTCAAGTACCACTTGCTGCATTTGCTCTACAGTAGCTAAAGATGAGGTAATACAATCTCTACCCAAGTTTTTTAATGTTGATGTTTGAAATTCAAATGTAGTCAAAGAAGTGTCTATGACACACGCTTTCTTGTGTTTATTTTTTTTGCATACAAATTCAAGGTCTTACCCATTTTGGAAAAAATTAATAATCTTGTTGCAATAGCAGCAGATCGCTTTCTGCGTACTATTTAATAGGTCTTGCTCCAACTAAACTGTGTCAGCCACTTTGTGTTAACCATGCACTTACCATGTCTAAATCTGTCATGTAACTCAAGCATACAATATAGTACATAAGAGAGGTATCATCATTTACATTTGGTAATTGATGGTGCTGCCACTGAGGCTGAAACACTACCTACTGATTGACCAGAAACAAGTTGTAATTTGCTTTTTCCTGCTTACTTTACTGGAAAGAGGATTGTTTATTATATGTCGAATCAAAAAATGTTTTCTCACATGCAAGAACATTTCAAGGAAACAATTTAATCTGGAGACTTTTCATTTAATACCTCAAATTTATAGGGTTTTCAAGCCTGTGTAAGCCCCATAAAACATACCTACTGCACCTAATCCAGGTGACTTTCCTCTTAGGTAATCTCCAAATTTCTTGAGGGGTGATTTTTCATTTACATCTTCAGTTGTCTCCTTCTGCAAAAAAATTACAAAAACTACCGACATAAAACATTGACATTTTTAAAGATACAACTATAACCTTTCTTTTAAACCTTTCCTACCCAAAAAGCACATTACCAAGCACTTTTTTACTGTGAAAAATATAGCAATATTTTTAACAAAATCAAAACCAACTTTGCTTTCTAATTCCTTCTGCATTATATTATAAATAAATAAATAAATAAATATATATATATATATATATATATATACACATTACCCTGCATCTTAAATAATTGAAAAAGAGGGAAAAACAGTTTCACTATTTTCTTACTTTCAACTTCTTATCCGGTGGCTAATTCTCAACTTGTGTATTACTGTATTTTTCTTGTTGTAAGCTTTCTTTGTTTATGAAGCTTCCCAAGAGATTCTCTGGTAATTATAGATTTCTTTTGACCTGCTCCCAGAATACTATAAACAACACTAGATCTTTCAAGTACATATTATATATAGAATTTACAAGGTTTCTCACTTGCTTCTAGTTCCTCTCTAGTTTGATTTTATTTGCATGTGTAGTTCCTTTTGTATCTTTTATATTCTGTTTTTGTTTTTTTGTCTATTGCTATTCTCTATTTTTCCTTATCCGTTTCTTTCCAAATCTATCTTGAGACTTTTGAATGTGCTCCTCTAAGAGCTCTGATAAGATCCTTCATTGAAAGGAATTCATCTACTCTTCTCAAAATTAGGATAATGGAATTTTACAATGTCTTTTGTTTTGTTGGTGGAGAGAGTCTCATCATCTGCATTAATGTAATGCACGATAAGGCATGTTTCGTCAACCTTTCTTAGTATTCAAAATGTCAACTTGCCATCAACACTTTCAATGGTCCATTATATCTGCATCTTTTCCTTTGCCTGAAACTTCATTGGACATATCTGATAGTTTCATAAAAAAGACATATTAGTACTCTCCTGTCTATCTGTATTCAGATAATCCACAATATTGAAAGTAGAGACCCAATGAAATATATTAACCACATGTGAACCTCTTTTGGTAAAAGGCCTTCATATCTAAAATAAGGCTGTGCTGTTCATCATCTTTCATCTGACCTAAGTGTAGCTGGTTCTCTTATGACAATCTGCTTGTTATAATTTTGATTATTCTTGACTGAGATAAGATCTTGGATCGTTGTCTTCTACGACAATTGACAGCTACATCTGACCTAACATATCAAAGAATAGTTGCTTGAATCAACTCAATCATTTTATCATACAGGATACATACTTGCAGCATGTAGGTCTGAAATAACTTTTAAAATGGTGGAATAATGAAAAAGCAGCTTTAATGAATAGATTTCCATCAGATATGGTACCAAGTTAACCATCTAGATGGAACATATCACTCAAAGGCACGCTCTTCAGTTACAAGATCAACCTAAATCTTTGCTAAATATCCCACTTTCTCGTAGTATAAAATTTGTATCCAAAAATTTTTTTAGGTTTTTTCTAAGTTTTAAATCTGGAACACATTAAACCTGGTGAAGTAAATTTCACAGGATAGTTGCATTGTATTGTAATTTAACTGGCAACTGTCATCTAATGAGAAATGTCATGAGATATTTCAGCATTCTGGTGATTGTTCAGAATCAGTACAATGGATGCCAGTTTGGAACTTTTAGACCAGATTTGTTTTGACCTTTGCAGAAGGAGGATTCACATCTGACTTAAAAGAGCCAAGACCTGGTTTCCAAGTCATGTCTACATTTCAAGCCTTATAATTTTTGTTTTTGCTGATTATGTAACTTCATTTCACTTCCCAGATTACTTTGTTTTAATTTCTCGTAAATTAAACATAGTATATCTTCCTCATTTATTTCTACATCTTCATTTCACATTCAAAGTAGTTCTATCACTATGACAATCAGTTTCCAAATTGAAACTTCTTAACAGAAAATAAAGTATGTTATTCCCTATGGCTTGTCTTTTTCTTTTCACTCATAACAAATTGCTGTACTTGTCCTTTAAAATACTAGATATCTGAAACTCTAATCTTCATGGAGATTATGTGACTATGTAATACATTCAACCTTGAGATTACCATATAAGTTCAGTCAACAAGTCCACTTAAAACCTATTATGTCAATCAGTCTTGGATTGTTTTGTTTCAAAAGAGTTTATGCAAGTTTTCTTATAATTAGGAATGAAACTATCCAAAATAACACAGGAGGATTTACTTTCTGACAAACTGAATTTTGATGCTATTTGAAAATCAGAAAACATAATTTTGAATATATCTCCTGCTCCTTTATAGAAAGAAAGCTATAATAATTTTCAGCAAAATGATGCTTCAAAGTTCCTTAACCTTAAGATCTTTTCTGCATAATTAACAATGGAGTCAGTAATAACTTTTCTGCTCATACTAAGAATGACTTAATAGGTTAACTCTTTTGCTTCAAGGTTGGCCAACTTGACCAACCTCGTAACCATTTTGAACTCATTATAGTTTCCATACTATAACTTTTAATACAGTATATGTATCTTCACAAAATCTGGCAGACTTTTAGTAAACATTAAATTTCTTAACATTACATATTGGACCTATTGGTCCATCTCACCTGTTCCATCTTCTAAACTAAACTATTAATAAATAAATTTAAAAAAATCATCTTAAATCAGCCCCTATCATTCATATACTTATCAAGCTTTCTCTTAAACTCAGTTAAATTTACTGATTCCACAACACCCTAAGGTAATCCATTCCAAAGGCCAACCACCATGTTAGAAAAATAAAACTGTCTTAACTGAAGATGACTCCTACCCTCCCAAGATATATTTTGTGTCTCCTAGTCATATTATTTTCACTCTTAAGTACGAAGAAATATGATGCATCAACACTATCAATTCCCTTTACAATCTTAAACAGATCCTCCCTAATCTTTCTTTTTTCAAGAGAAAACAATTTGAAAGATTTCAACCTATCCTCGTATGACAATCTCTTCACCCCAGGCACCATTCTAGTAACCCTTCTCTGAGTCCTTTCCAACAATTCAATGTCTTTCCTAAAATAAGGAGCCCAAGAGGGAACACAATATTCCAAATGTGGCCTAACCAGTGACTTGTGCAATGAAATTATAACCTCTTTAGTCTTGTATTCAAAATTTCTGTAGATACAACATAAAATCCTTTTCACCCTACCACTAGCAACAGCTTGGATGGCTTCAGAGACTGATCAACTATTACACCAAGATTCCTTTCTTTTGTGACACTGTTAAGGTTATTACCATCAAAATTATACTTAAAATTCAAATTATGATAACTCACATGCAACATCTTGCATTATAATTAAAACCCATCTGCTACTTATTTGCCCAACTCACTAAATGATCTAAATCCTTTTGTAAATCAGCAGCAGCCTCTTCACAGCTAGCAACACCCAAGACCTTAATATAATCTGCAAATTTAAGTAATTTATTGACTATTCCTTCATCTATATCATTGATGTAAATTAAAAAGAGCATAGGTTCTAAGAGCAAAGGTACCCCACTTGTGACACTAATCCAGTTTGACTGAACTCCATTCGTAACAACCCTCTGCTTTCTTCTATATAATTTGCTATCATATCTCCCGCACCTAGAGAGATATTTTTTTACAAGCCTTTTATGTGGCACCTTGTCAAATGCTCTCTGAAAATCCATATATACCAAAGCTACACCCCTACTCTCATCTACATAAGCTGTAGATCACAGCTTTCTATGTTCAAAGAAAGTCGAAAGATTTGTTAGGCAAGATTTTCCCTTGGTGAAACTATGTTGACTATCCAATAAAATTCTAAACTTTGTTAAATAATTTTGCAAAACATATTTTATCAGACTTTCCAAAACTTTCCCACAACTGATATAAGGCTAATGGGTCTATAATTACTGGGACAATTTTTATCACCTGCCTTCGAAAGAGGAGTTACATTAGCTAACTTCTAATCCTCTGGTACCTGCCCACTATCCACATTACGATATTGAATTACTTTATGCACGACCTACTTGTGAGCGTATCTCATGAAAAATATTATATTATTATTTATTTTACCTAATCTAACCTTAACCAACCTAAGAAGTTTCCTATTTTTACATTTTAGTTACTCTTATAATAATAAGTGAAGAATGCACATTAAAAATAAGAAATAAAGTACCTACCAAAGAACATAGAATAATGACATGAAAATAGTAGACAATGTCCAATAACTATTACAATTTTCTGGCTTTCTAACTGTGCAAAAAGAGCTGTTAAAAAATCATCTAAGCTTGTCGATGTGCTTTCTGTGGGAATAAAATTTGAACTGAGAGCGAAATTAACAGTTCTCTGTACAAAACACAATGTAACATAATATATTAGTTGATAGATGAAAACCTTGGCTTTCTATTGATTATAAATAATATAGTATTGAACATCAGAGAGAACTATTGGAAACTTCTGAAAGAGGATGTGACAAGAGGAGTCTGATTTTCTATTTCATTGCTCTGTAACTAAATAAAATTCAAGTCTATGTAAATTATTATAGCGAGTAACTTACAATAAATTTTATTCTTACTGGAGGGGTGGTGAATTAATTAGAGAAGAGGGAAGACCGAGAGAGCAAATGTCACAATTCTTATACTAGTGGAAATTCAGGATTTTTTAAAATATTGTTTTATAAAATTAAGAACCTAAAACTTGTATACTATTAAAATATGGATTATTAGCTATATTTTTATGCCAAATTTCTTCATATCATGATAAGAAAGTAGTTTAATAAATTTTGAATGTAAATCACTAAAACCTTGTGACATGCACAAAAAAAAAGATGCTTGTGGAGAAAGGGTTAATGCAATCTTTTTCTAGCAATTAAGCATCTTTAAATTTAGTATTTTCTGCCAGTGTCATTGTCAACATTTTAAAACCTAAAACAAAATCTAATAAAAGAAAACTAAAAAACCATTTTCAAAGTCAACAAAATCTAGTAGAAAACGGACTAAAAGGACCGTTATCAAAGTTAACAAAATCTAGTGGTAGATGGGCTAAAAGACTATTATAACAGTCGACAAAATATAGTGGAAGGACTAAAATAATCGTCATTAAAGTTAACAAAATCTTGCGGAGGAAGGACTTAAAATTTCGTTATCAATGACAACAAAATCTAGTACAAGAAGGACTAAAAAGACAATTATATCATATGATATGAACAACAAAAAATATATAGAGATATTACAAGTGTAATTGAAAATCACCCCAGATGAAATAAAATACAGAATTCTTGACTTTTACTGAGCAACAGTTACATTTGGTACTTATCTGACAAAATAAATTATTGGTAATATATAAGAGGCTAATCATTTATCTGACAAATATTCTCAGCTCAAAAGGCAAAGGACAATAAATCTCTTCAATTTTCTTGTGCACTGGCTTTACACAAACTAAAAATTTAAAGAGTTGAAGCAAGTGTATTTTTCTTCAACAAGACGCATGACTGGATGTGTATTAAGTTTAAGAACCATCAATAAGTAAACTGACATAGCCATGTATTTAATTTCAATGTTTTGGGCAACTTCACATAGACTTCAAGTTCTCCTATTTCAAAAGAAATAATTAATTTGTTTTTGGATGATTAAAGGAAACCATTTCCATTTTTGGCAAAGGGTAGGAATTCTCAGTACTCTTTACCTAATGAACGTTTTTGGTTGATATATCAGGAGTATGAGGTAAGACAACTTTTAACTTAGATTTATACACATTTGCCTTAAGCTCCTAATATAAAAAATTATTTTGCATTTAATTTTTTCTATTAATAGTTTTTAGTTACAACAGGTAATACATATCATCAACAGTAAATTTGAAATAAATTTATCTTTTTTTTGGGGGGGGGGGGGTAGGCTTGGATTACAACCAAGTAGTCTGACTTTAGAGATCTTTGGTGAATAATTCTCCTAGATGAAAGAGGAGGCTCTTTATTTCATTATTATTATACTCATTTCTTTATGAAATAATCTTATATATATGTGGATTGAGTTTTTAAATTGTACTTCTCACAATATAGTCTCATAATAATCTGTTATCTTTTAAACAGACTGGATAGAATGAGATGGCTGTGTGAATATAAGAAGGAAGTGATGTATGCCTGTGTGTGTTCACATGATATATACAGTTACAGAAAGATGGAAGTGTGGATTAGCATATTTTGTAAACACTAGTTAAGATAAATTCAGATGATGTAAATTAAATGTGCAAGATCTTTACTAGATCTACCCTGACCTGCATGTCAGTCTTTATGTATCCCATTAGAGTAGTGTAAAATTTTAAATCCAGGCATTTGTACTTTGTAATCTTTCTCACTCACATATTAGCTCTGTCATGCTAATATTAGTAACTTTAGTTTTTTTTTACCAGCTTTAAGTCTGATATAAATTACTTCAATTAAAATCTAGGCATCACTAAACTTATTCTGCATTTTATTCATAAGTTAATTATTAAATCTTTATGTAATGCCTTTTCTCCTCCTTCATCATGTCATTGTTTCAAAACCTGAAAAATGTTTTCAGTCTCTATGTGACTTTTTGAAAGTTCAAATCATACATGCTCATTTTCATAAATTCAACAAAATAAACAGAATAATCTTTGGTAATTTGAATTGCTGACTGTAGCTAATGGGTTAATGCTAACCCTTTCCAGACAGGTCACAGGTGAAAAAACCATGTCATTGCATTTGTTGAATCGCATTGAAAATTTTTATTGGACTACGATTTTATGAATTTATGTCAATAAGTTTGGTATCAAACTGTAGATTATAATTCAGATTTTAGTATTATACATTACTCAATTTCTTAATTGAAAAGTAAATATTAAAAAATACAGTTGAACATCGGTTTTTGTGTGTCACACGGTATGTTGAATGTAGCACTGGTTCAAAATACCAAGTCTATAGTTTTGTACGAATTAGAAACTCAAATTACCAATATTGATTAGCTATAATATCAAATAATAACTACTTATATTTTCCATTTGCTAAGATAATGCTCATGTAATAAATCAAACACAGTGGCACCCAACCAACTTCTTTCCATTTTTGGAAATGCTCCCTTATATACACACTTACTTCTATATATGACATGAATAACCAATCTAAAACTCAGAATGTCCCCCTAGTGGCTTTCTTAGACATTTAAATTCTGGGGATGCCATCTCTTTCTTTCAAACCAAGATTTCAAGGAGATAGGTTGTGTCTTTAGTCTGCTCAAAATTTCATACTTTTCAAGTTATTAAACTTGATAAATTATAGTGGAATTCTATGGTATTGATATAGTAATTTATGATTTTTTTTGGTTATTCAACTATATATATAAAACCTAAAAAAATTATTTCGTTTCACATCCTCCATGTGCTTAACAACCAATGTCAAGCAGCAACCAAGTACAAAGGTCATAACTAGAAGAGATAATTGTTTGCTTTACTTCTTTAGTTACTGTTCTATGTTCTAAGAAAAACATGTTTAAGAATATGTTTGTAAATAGTAATAATCTATATACATATATAACGTATAATAATAATTGAAATGTGACTGTATTTTACAAAATACTAGTCTGCTAAAACACAGCCAAAACAGGTCACTTTGTAAAGACTGAAGGTCAGTTTTATATTATTGGATAGGGTAACATGAGAGCATGTGTGCCACATCATTGTAACATTCTGTATTGTTAGCTAGGCACGACTGAAAGATCAATATAATAAAAATAGTAAATATATATAAATGTATAATGTTATGAGATTTAAGCTACTTAGTCTAAACATTTATGCTTTCATGTAATAATTTGTTGTCATTCTAGAATGAAAGAGACATAATTTATATTTATTTCCTAATTTTTTCTATGGTGATTAAGAGATCAGGCAAATCTACTGAACCTGTACAGAGATTCGTAACTGAAAATAACAGATAAAATATAAAGTTTTTTTTTCTTAAGAAACGTTTGATAACTATCTGGACATTATAAAGATTTTGCATGTGAAATTTGAAATTTTTCTGATGCATAAAAGTATTTTTAATCTTAAAATTAAAATTACTTTGCATGTTAGATAGTCAACATGCAGAAAGAAAAAAAAGGCACGATGAAAACATTGCTTTATAAACCTTACTACCCAATAAAAAATTTTATATTTTGTTTTTCGTAAGCATTGTAATGTTTACTGATATAATCTACCAAAATTCGTCAACATATGCTTAATCATTTAAAAGTTATATCATGAAAACTATAACAAGCAAAAAATGGTTACAAAGTCGGTCTCAGGTACCGGGCCCGTGGTGAAAGAGTTAACTGAGTTGGTAGAATATTTGCCTAACGTGTAAGATTCCAGCTTCGATCATGCTCACAGGAGATACAAAAATGGGATTACCACACATGCAAGATTTGACTGTTTGTGAACTTCTATAAAGGATATGTTTTAAACACAAACACGTGTCAACTAGATGTTACTAGCACGGTATGGTTTTGTCTTACATATTACTCTTAAAACTTGAAAAAGTTTTTTTCATAAAACAAATAAGTAAAACGTGTTTATGTTAGATGAACAATATAATAAATATTTACAGAAAAACACATACTTAATAAAGTTTGACTCTTTCACTGTTATACTACTTCAATGAATACTAATTACTCTTAGATTACACTTTAATATCTATATTCTGTTTTTATTATAAAAGACATAATTTTTTTTTATTATAAATTAATATCTGAATCACTAACTTACTATATTTAGAGAGTAAATGAGAGATTTCTGTGGGACTGTATCCTTACCTCAACAGTTTGTTCTTCTTGATTGTAGCTCTCAATTTCTTGTTGCTTCTGTTTCCTGGTTCTCTTCCTACGATGAGGAGGAAGCTGTTTGGGTTCTTCAAAATCATCCTTTAAGGCAGAAACAAGACCAATACATATAACATGCTACATTAATTTCTATCAGTGTATCAATTGTGGTTTGTTCAGTAGTGTTTCTATAATTCTGTAGGAAATGCTTGATATGACATATGTTTAAAACCATATTAGCATAAAATATCAATACAAGCTTTATAAATGTTTTCAACAAATCGACAGAAATTGCTAGTGGTGGGGCAAATAGGATTTTAGGTTGTATCTAAAGAAATATTGAATACAAGTTTAAAGAGGTTATACTTTCATTGTACAGGTCACATTTGGAATATTGTGTTCAGTCTTAGGCTTCTTACCTTAGGAAAGACACTGAATTGTTGGAAAGAGTTCAGAGAAGGGTTACTAGAATGGTGCTTGGGATGGAGAGATATCTCAAATTATTTTCTCTTGAAAAAAGAAGAGTTACAGAGGACCTGATTGAGATGTTTAAGATTATAAAGGGAATTGATAGTGTTGATGTATCATCTTTTTTTATATTTAACAATGAGAATAGTAGGACTAGGGGACACAAATCTAAATTTTGGCAAGGTAGGAGTCATCTTCAGCCAAGACAGTTTTGTTTTTCTAACAGGGTGGTTGGTCTTTGGAATGGGTTGCCTTCAAATGTTGTAGAGGCAAAACATTTGGCAGGCTTTCAGAAAACCTTACAAGTCTTTTGTACACAAAAAATCAGATTTCTTGGAACTCTTGACAAAGTGCCACGCCTACTTTCTACACACACGGTTGTGATTTCTCAGCCAATTATATTTAGTTGAGCTAGATGTTTATAACCAATAAAGACCACATTTCAAAATATGATCTCCCAATAATTATTTTAAAATAGAAGTGAAGAATTCTACAGAGAATTAAATAAACTGCTCTTAGCACTGTTGCTGCTTTTGTCCTCATTAGCACTTTAGCATTGTTTCTCATCTACTATAAGTATGTTAGTTAGATAGACAATTAAACTGTATTACATATGTTTTAAAATGCATATTAGAAATGTTTAATAATTATTTAAAATATAAGCAAAACTGACTTCAGTTCATCAAGCTTAGTGTAGTCGGCAGAGTGTCCCAACATTTTGACAAAGGCTAAAGTGTCTCTACCTATGATACCCTGATACTGCCTGAGAATTACCATTGACATGTGTCGTGATAAGTAATAATGCTAAAGGACAGGAAAGAAAAACTAAACATAAAAAATAAACTATATGTGAAAAAGTAAAAATTTACATTTAAGAATATAACTGAAAGGTTTTTAAGATTATTTGATGAAAAAATTAAAAGGTGTGTACATTATTTATTTTAAACATTTCATTGCACAACACAGTGCTGATAATACTCGACACTCAGTTCGAGTGTAAATAACTACAACATAAAAATAACAAATCCTTAGTTAATATACTTAATTAAAATAATCTCATTCTTTTTGTACAAAATACTTGTAATTTTTAACAGAATCTTACTAATTGTTGTGAAGATATGTTAAAGCTCAGTTATTGTATCATTCTCTGTACGAGGAATAGCCAAATGGGTTCAACCCCGTAAATATAAGGTTAAAGAATACAGTTACGCAATTATAAATCTGAAACACAAGATAATGTAAAATAACAAAAAATTTATTCTTCATTAAAGCACCCAAAAGCACTGGCTGTGGGTACTGTCAGGTTTGTATGTATGTGTAAGCCAGATTCTTTACATTAAGTGTCAACAATACACAAACAGCACATAGTGCACTTGTTTTAAAATAATATATTAAAACAAGTCAAATGTATATACAAATGTTCATTACATAGTTAATCACCACAGTTATATCTCAAACTTTAAATAATTGTCTCATTTTGTCAATGTCTACACAGATTAATCCAGTTAATTTAGAACCTCATTGACAAGACAAATTATTTCTTCTCTACTCTGTTATTACAATGCAATAATTCATAATAATAAATAATTGTAATAATAATTAATAATAATAATAATAATAATAATTTCACTTTAATAATTGCCAGTATACACTCTTTATGGCTAAACTCACAATTGCATAGTCTAGATCTATCTATCTCACTAACTCTGTCTAACTATCTCTCAAACTACATTTTGTACGCATATTTACAGCCTTATCAGGCCTAGAACTTTCTACACACTATGAGATACTATGATGCAATAATATTCATTCAAAACAATAAGAAAAACTTAGAAGGTTCTGGTTACATGATGCAATAATAACAAGCACCAATTCACAACAACTGAACTACACAATGTTATGATTTGTACAGTTATGTAAAGAAACCTGCAATAAACTATAGCTTCTAAACATAACTAAATTTAAGACACGCGCTATACTTAAACCATCTAAATCATAACACTCTCATTAAGCCTCATGTATATCTAACAGCTACTGTCAACCAGTTACCTTTCTAATGGTCAGCAGTTCAAAATTAGGTACAATGGTAGATGGCCTTAGTAACTTATAATTAAAAAAGACAGGGTGAGCAAGTTAGAGGCAATAGGAATCACGCCCAAGACACTCAAATCACAAAGCGACCCTTATTATGTAGCTTGTCATTTAATAACAAACAAAATGGCAATATTTCAATTATTTTGATAGTTGAAATAGCTTAAAACAGTAAATAATTGCAAACTCTAATTCTGATTAGTAGAATATTTTCATGATAAACAATCTAATTAATTGTAAACTTGAATATTCAATTGTTGGAATAGTTGAAATAGTAATAATCAGAAAAAGTAATTTTGATTACTTAATTTTTATGACATTTGGTTTAATCAATTTCAATTAATAAATTGTTATAATCATCAACTCTAATCTTGCTTAGTTATTTTCATGACATTAATCAATTTGTTTATGAAACAATAACCTATGTAACCACGGTTCCTAGGTTATCAAATAATAATTTAATTTGCTATGCATTAGTCTTAATATCAATGGCTAGTAGGTTAACCCTTTAGCTCAGTTGATAGAGCTCTCACTTTGCACGCAAGATCAAATCCTGCTAAGGGGAGATATAAAAATTGGATTAATGCAACCGAGGGTGATAACTAAAACTTGTATTCCGATACTGATATTTCTCTTATGTAGTTTAACCCTATAACCTCCAGCACCATTTTTAAATTCCTTTCTGTGTATGGCACTGCATTACATTCAAAATTTAATAAAACAACATTACAATCAATATATATCAATGAGATCAATATCATAATGTATATTATAATTTGAATTTTTATAATATAAAAGTACTAATAACTTTGTTTCAAGGAAAACTTATACAAGTTTTCCAACCTTTGATGGTTGCCATGTCCACCTTCTATACTTTGCCTCGAGATCTACAATGTATATGTAGTTAGTTGACACAAATGTATATAGTTATTAGAAAGAGCTCAGTTTACACTGTACTCCACCAACAGTTAATTTGAAATTGGAGTGCAGTTTTCATGTTGAAGTACATGTAACTGCCATTAGTACTGTTGTCTGCTGTATCGACTATACCACTTACGGTAGTGTTTTATCTAAGTATGAAATAGTTAGAGACATTTAAATTGTATTTAGGTCTTACTTTTATATTTTAGTTAATTATATATTATGTGTTTTTAAAAATTTCGATTGTGAAAGGCTATAAACAAGATGGCATGTATAAACTGTCTTGTTTAGGCAACGCGTCTATGCAGGGAGGTGGCAGAAGGCATCACTTGACGTATCAACATAAGTTTGAAAGGAAAATTAAAAATAAATTACAAGTGAAAAGATAAATATGTAAAATTATGCATAAAAGAAAAATATGACCATTCTAGTGGATTTCTACAAAAAGTTGAAAGGTATGTACATATTCCCATTTGTGAATTTTAAACATTTCATTGCACTGAATGTTGATGGTAATACATAGAGTTAGCAATATAGTAGAGAAAATGAACAATAAAATATAAACAGTTATCTTAAAAAAACTTTTGATATTCATTTATGAGGTTCTAGAGATTATGTAATTGAAATGTGAAAACTGTAAGATTAAAAATAATATTCTTATACTTCATATAAAAATCACCTTGCCAGTGAACTATTCAGAGTCTGTGAGAAAATAACTAAATGAAAAAACGTATTTTTATTAGAAATAGTTTGAACCCCCCCCCCCCCCAACTGTAACTGAAATTTACTGCAGAGTTTCCAATCACTTTACATCTTAGTGTGTTGAATACTTTCTAAATCTATCATAATATAGTAAAAGCATTCTCAACAGCTAGAACACACAATTAAGTTTTTGAAGACACAAAGTCAAAATGCACTCCCATAAAACCAAGGCATATCGAACATAAATTCTATCTTAAAAATTAATTCTCAATTGTTTGTATGAATGAAAACAAATTTAGCTATTAAGGTGATGAAAAAAGTCCCTGTGAAAAAACCTAAGACTGAAACAGGGAAAGTAGCTTCTAAAATTCTCATAGCTAGAGATATATTTTATTAAATTTTTTTTTGTTTCATTAGTAAATTAATACAAAAAAAATAAAAAAAAATTTGAGAAAACACTTGATCCGACACATTTACCTCAGAAAATGATGACAGTCTTGTTGATATAGTTCTAGTTTGATTTCGTTGTCGTGTTTTTCTCATCTTCCTTGTTGACTTTGCTACTTCTGTTTCACTGACATTGTTCTCATTATCAGCAACTTTTGGCTGTAAAACACTTGAAGCATTCTAAAACAAAACAAAAAATTCCATATGCTATCCACTGAAACCAATACATAGTTTGATCCACAGCTATTATAATATTAACAGATAATAAAAGAGAGCATAAATCATAAAACAGGTGAAAAAATAAAATGAATTAATTTTGAAAATGTTTAATAAATTAAGCTAAACGTCAAATAAATTGCCCCCCAAGAAAAAAGTGGGGAGAGAGAGACCAGAAGAAAAAATTTTCATTAATGTATATCAACTCCAAAATTACGAGTGTAACAAGAACTTTGGCTTTATCATAATTCATACACCAAAGTTAGTATCAGTGGTACTGAATAGAATAAACTGTGTCTTTTGAACTAATGCTTTATATACAATTTTTTTTCTGTAATTTCTCTAATTCTGCCTTACTTTTTGAAGATTTGTATTATTACATAATCACTTGATTCATACGAAAAAATGTTTGCATTTAGAGATGATTACAATGTAGTTTTTGCTTGTGATGACAAACTAGTGATTTCTTAACTCTCTCAACACAGGCTCGGTCGATTTAATCGACCATGTGACCTCTTTGTACTCGTATAGTCTTTGTAGATTCGATACTACTAACTTTTAATATAGCGTGTATATCTTCACAAAATTTGGCAGTTTTTCTGTAAACATTATGTCTTTCACATATAAAAAATCATGTTTTTAGCGAAGTATTTTCAATAAACTAAAATAAAGATTTATCCGTGAATATATCAAGTATTTGTTTTGAATAGTCTGTGTGCAAAGTAATTTTCATGTTAAGATTAAAAATACTTTCCCTCATCTCAAAAATCTCTAATTTCATTTAATTTCTAAAACCTATTAAATACATTTCAAATATTTGCTTTCAATAAAACTTCGTACCCACTGAAAAAAATCTAAATTAACTCTTTCTTTCTAGAATGACTTCAAATTGTAACATTTATCCCAAGTATACTCGTAACAGTATACATCTATATATAATTAAATTTTATTGCCCTTTGAACCGTTTCTAAATACTATTCACATCCTATTTCTACATTTTAGTTACTTTTATAATAATAAATAAAGAATAAACATGAAAAACAAGAAATAAAGTACTTACCTGAATTTTCTTTTTTCTTGCTGTCGATTGTCAATGACTCTTAACTCTACTTTTTTTTTATAGTAATGGTAGTAATGCTCTAAGTAATTTTTATTTAATTAAATAATGCACCAAAGAATATAGACTAATAACATACAAAAAGTAGACAAATTCACTTACCTCTCAAAATTTTCCTGGCTTTCTAACTATGTGACAAGAGCCATTACAAATTCAACCAAGCTAGTCATTAGCTTTCCTACAGGAACGGAGCTTGTACTCCGAGTGAAATTGATGATTATCTGTTCAGAACACACATTATACAATATGTCATTTGATGGATAAAATCTTGGCTTTCTATTAGTTATAGGTAATATATAATTAAACGTAAGAGAGAACTATTAATAAATCCTGAAAGAGAGGATATGGCAGAAGGGGTTTGATTTTCTATTTGATAGCTCTGTAACCAAACAAAATTAAAGGCTATAAAAAGTATGGTTTGTCTGAGCAATGATGACTTTATAGCGAGTAATTTACATTGAATTTCATACTTTTTGGAGGGGTGGATAAAATAGAGAAAGGAAGATGCCTAGAGAAAATGTGTCATGTGTATCACACTAAGGGAAATTTGGGATATTTTTTTAATATTGCCTTATAAAATCAAGAACTTAAAATATATATACTGGTAAAATATGGATTATAAGCTATGATTTTCTGCTATACTAATTGGTATAACAAATGAAAGCAGATTAATAAAATGTTGAATGTAAGTCACTAAAACCTCATAACATGCACAGTAAAAGATAGGGTTAAAAGGCACGTGAATTAGAAAGTTGTTTGTATAAGAACTATTTTTATTATCATTTAAGTGCATACATTTAAATATATATATAATAAGCATTAAGAAGTTTTTAGCAAAGTCCATTGTTAATCCGAGTTGTCACCTTAAAGTCATAATGTAAAATGTCTGTGGTAATAGTTCCCAAATGCATTGGGGGATATCCCATCTACCAGACATGATCCAAACAATGATGTTAAACTAACCAGCAAGCATGCAAAATCAATTAAGGGTATGGAGTTAAGTGCTTACACACACAATATCTCAAAGTCGAAATGATTGGTTTGTTTGTTTGTGATTAAGCACAAAGCTACACAATGGGCTATCTGTGCTCTGCCCACTACGAGTATCAAAACCCGGATTCTAGCATTGTACGTCTGCAGACATACCTCTGTGTCACTGGAGGGCTAAGTAGAAATAAAAAAAACCCTAATATTTCTACTATATGTAACTCCAAACCACTTATATTATTCATAAATAAAGAAGAATATAATGGAGGGCTAAGTAGAAATAAAAAAAACCCTAATATTTCTACTATATGTAACTCCAAACACCTTATATTATTCATAAATAAAGAAGAATATAATGGAGGGCTAAGTAGAAATAAAAAAAACCCTAATATTTCTACTATATGTAACTCCAAACACCTTATATTATTCATAAATAAAGAAGAATATATTGGAGGGATAAGTAGAAATAAAAAAAAAACCTAATATTTCTACTACATGTAACTCCAAACCACTTATATTATTCATAAATAAAGAAGAATATAATGGCCACAAATACTGGCAATTAAGAAAATGTTTTACATTATTTTATAACAAATATGAAAATATTTAAAAAAATAAATTTTTTATAAGAAAAATACCTTTAAGGTTGTTAGCTACTTTTAAGCAGCTAATATTAAAATTTTATTCAGTATACTGGGATGGAAAGACTAAGACTAACTTCAAGTAACTGGGCTTGTCTCAGCTTTCCCGTGTTATACTTAAATAAATTTTCAAGAGAAAGGGAGGAGGTTGGAAATATGAACTACGAAAGAAATTTAAGATAGGGCTGCTTATTCTATTTAAGATCTTTTATTATTTTATTAGTTAGGAGTTGCATATAGTAGAAATATTTGGGTGGTTTCATTTCTACTTTAAGAATTATAAGAACTTTTAAGGGTAACTGTCTTTCAACAACTGGCTGGAGACAGTGAAAGGCAGTAGGATTTGAGACATTGTTGGGTGTAAACACTCAACTTCATACCTTTAATTGATTTTCCATGCTTGCTGGCTAGTTTAACATCAGTGTTTATATTTTGTCTGGTAGATAGGATATCCTCAATGCATTTGGGAGCCATTACCACAGACATTATCCGTGATGACTTTAAGGTGACAACTGGGATTAACGGTGCATTTTGCTAAAAATTTCTTCATGCTTATTTTATATGAAGTTCATTTTTGTTTTATAGTGCTCATTTTAATCACCTATTAACAATTAATGTAATTAATAGTATTGAAGCTATTTATTTCATTTTATATATATAATGTATGATTTTTTTTTTTTTCAATACAGAAATTTGGCATTTATAGGAAAGACAAACTTAACACTGTTTTATTATGTAAGCTTCCCAGCAAACTGATAAAACCTGTCTTTCAGAAGCTTAACCTTTAAAACTTCCTCTTCATTTGAAATGTAAAATTCAGTTCTTAGATGTAGCTGTCATACGTGCCCTGAAACAGATGCTTATTGCAGCCAAATGATACATGCAGTATGGAAGCAAGACCTTAGAATAAAATTATTTTTCCAGGCAAGTACAACAGAAGAATCCATGAGCAGCTACTTCACAGATATCAGACTGAGTTCTGTAATGAATATATTAAAGATTATCCTTAATTGATAGGTAGAAGATGGAAAACAACAATGTTTGAAATATATACCATTATTTGATTCTATAGAACTTAGCTGATTATGATATAGCACTTTTATATGAGAGTTTGTTAAAATAACCTGTATATCAATTTCAGCCAGTAATTTGTCAGATTTAGCCTTTTTTGAAGGTTTGCACACACTGCTAGGCCTGATTATGCATTAACCCTATTGAAACAGGTATCTACGGGGTTTTAGTGTCTTACATTCACAATTTTATTAACCTTCTTTTGTTAACGCTATATCAATTAGTATAACATTAAATATTAGCT